TGTGTGTGTGTGTGTGTGTGTGTGTGTGTGTGTGTGTTTGTGTGTGTGTGTGTGCGTGTGTTTGTATGTTTGTGTGTGTGTGTATATGTATGTATGTGTGTATGTGTGTGTGTGGGTGGGTGGGTGGATGTGTGAGTGAGTGTGTGTGTGTGTGTGTGTGTTTTTCTTGTGTGCATATATACACGTGTGTACGTACACGTGTATGACATGTTTGTGTGTAAGTGTGTCTTGTGTGTATATATACACGTGCGTACGTACACGTGTATGACATGTGTGTGTGTGTGTGTTTAAGTGTGTGTAAGTGTGTGTGTTTGTGTGTGCGTGTGTGTATGTGTGTATAGTTGTGTGTATACGTACCCTTGTAGGGATAAATATACATAACTGTTTGCATATACATACATCTGATTCTTGTTTGAGGCAGTATGCTGTGTTTCCTTCCACGATTACGCACCTGTGTAAATACATGGTCCATTGGGTCTTCAGTGTTGAGTCTGATTTTGATTCCGCGATGATTACCTCCCGTAGTAGTCATTATCATTAGCTATACAGTACACACACGTATAAGTGTATGTATGTAAGGTTGTGGTTTATATTTTAGGTTAGTATAACTATGTAAGTATATCCGAGTGCGCAAATGTATGAGTTTGTATCGATTTGTTTATAGAATCGTGTAAGTTATCGCAAGGCAATGCAATATATTAGCTATGTACATAGATAGGTACAGTATTGGAGAGTTGATTATATTTAAATGAACATTGAACAGTGAAGTGAGTGAACACGCTTACTTTTAAAAAATACAGTTTTTCGTGGTTCAAAATACCAAACATGATAATTTATGTGCACGCTATTCAGAGGTTGCTGAGATCCGAAGTGAGAACTAAGAGCTTTTGTTTTTTAAGAATAAAGTTTCACAGAGAATTGGATATTGGAATGTTCTGACTCCTGAGCAAAAGAATACTGCTGTTTCTATTCTATTGGTCAGTCTGCAATTCTGCAAGCACAACCGTACATATTTGGAATATTCTATAGTAACTTCTACAAGCGATCTATGAATGAGTAAATTCCAACCAAACAACAGCGAACCGTCCAGCGTTAATATGAGTCATTTTCCACTTGAGTAATGAGTCATGATTAGTCATGGATGAGTCATAAATACTATGTGAGTCAGTACTCTGTAGTCCTCCATTGACCTCCGGTCTAGCATATGTCCAAGATATGACTAGATGTCCTATAGCTAGATAGTGAGTCACCTGTCAAATATGACTACCCTGGGGATAGGTCTCCCTACACAGTACCTCGCATCTCACGAGTCACAAATCACGCCTGACGACTCACGAGGGCCGAGACTCATTTTGGAAGAGTATGTAATAACTTTCTTAGTTCCACACATTCACACACGCCGAGGGCCCGAGGATGAGTGGAAGATACACAATGGGGGTTTGGTTTGAAGGAGTCTGTGGTTGACCATATTGTAGGATAAACTCGAGAACGATGTGAATATTTAAAACAGCGCGTTTTGATTTCAGTTTTGCTGTGGAAGGCTAGAAAATGGAAACTGGAAACGGCAACGCGAGGGTCACCGAGCCAGTCATAGTGGTTGTCATCGCTGAGCGAGAAGTGTCCAGCGGCATCGCGCCCTCGCCCCTCGGGGGTTAGTGTCGTCTTTCATAAGAACTAATGTCTAAAGAGAAGGCTTCTATACACCATGGATAGACACATCATCCTCAAGAAGTGTGTAGGTGTGTGAAATATACATTTTATAAATGAACATTATGTATGTACATTGTACAGTCAACTTCTTTAAGTGTACACAGTCCGTTTTGGACAAAAAACGGGACACTTATGGAGGTAGACACCCTTGTGTTAGGACCGACCCTGTCGCGTACAGAGTCGGCTCCTTAGGACACATTGATATGAAGCAATCGTAGCTTTATTTATATAACTTTATAGCGTTCGATTTGTTTGTGCTTATCTGGCGCAATGTCTTCTTCATAGTCAACATCCGATGTCGAGTATTGATCTCCAGCTGCAGAGGAATAAGTATCCAATCATTTGGCATTCATAATCTCTTGGAAGACAATATTTTTGATATTAAAATAAAGAAAGTCGGCATAAGCACAAACCACACTGAACATACTCGTAGTCCGATTATAGTTGGCTTCCTCCATAGTCGTTACCGCATCTGTATTTTAATAATCTGAAAATTTGCGGATTCAGTCTATCCACTATTGCAATTCTTTTACTTTTTCACTGTAACTTGCACGATAGTCTGGATCAGCTATAGCACAATAAGATTCAAATGTACTTACAATATCACCGATGAATCGTTTCACACCATCCTTGAGTGTCTTCAAGTAATCGACTGCGTATTTGATCAACGAACCTTCCGGTAGACATGTAGATTGCTTCCAGCAATGCGCTAAACTAATTGAAGACGTTTGATCCCAAATTCGTTCAATAATTTTGTGAAAGCAACACCAAGCATGTTGACTCTAGGTACCTGAATTGGCATCATTTGTATTTTATCACAATTCGATATTTGAAATAGAATAAGAGGACTTGTCCCAAACCTAGGACCGAAGTCCCTAAACGGAAAAGTGGAGCACCTATAGAGGTGGACACATACGTAGAAGTACAATACAAATATATTTTATATATATAAATCAATATATAGTTCAGCAAGTATCCCAAATATTGCACCCTGCCTGTCCGACATACAGGACTAAAACATATTAATACTGTATGTAAACAGGTAAGCATACCTATATATATATATATATATATATATATTTGTATATGTATATAAATATATGTATGTAAATATGTGTATATGTATATAGGTGTATAACATATAA